CTGGGGACGAACGCAGCTGCACAACCGCTGCCAAATCCTCCGCATTAAGCGTGGGAACTGCCGCTAAAAGGGAGAGGGCAGGTTTTGAGTTAGTGAGAAAAATCAGAAATATGCAGTCACTATCAAGTGCCTGGAATTTCAACATGACCTACCCGGCGATGCCTCCCGATCGGTTGCTGGGCAACCTGAACACAGTCATTCTGAGGTTGTGCCACGGCAGCTTCTGGCCTCAAGACAGCTGGAAAAGCAAGATGGAAGGTAAGGGACCATATCAGGATGTATCGTCCCAGCTATTCCCATCGGTCTACCCCTTTCCGGACCTTGGTTTCCTCTCGCCACCACCTCCTACGGCTTCCAGTTCAACCAGCTGCACAACCGCAACCTACCGCCGGGGCGTAGCTCCGGAAGGGACTCTGGCCATACAACATACTGTAGGGCATACAGAGTCCCTTCCGTCTACAACTGGGCCGGCGATTCGGCCTCCCGATGCCACGGCAGCCCGGGTTGAAATGCGGAGGCTGGGGACTTACACTATAGTCCCGTGCGTGGACCTGGACGCCACGGAGGCGGACATGGCAAAACTACCAAGTCTCAGTCAGGAAAACGTGGCCCTCTTCGATGCCCATTGTTGCATTCGTGCACATAGGTTCCACAGACGCCGACCTTGCATTTTTGCTGAAAGGCGTAAGCTTGGGACATATAAATCGTCCTCTTAAGTACAGGCATGCATTGAAATGGATGCTTACCCCGGGCCTTTTGTGCGTAGAGGCTTGGGAGGGCCTCACACTGGCCCCAGCTCCAACATTGTTCCGTCTTCTTGGCCATATGCACAATTTTTTCTTGCGTGGTGTAGGCGATTTGGGCCTGTCGGAAGCTGGGGATCAGGCCTAGGTCACTGAAATTTAAAGAGATGATAAGCGTATGTTTAAAGACTGGCTTATAGAACGAAAACCAACATGCAAATGACTACTGAGCTCAGTGTTTCCTTTGTATCTCGTGTTTGACTTAGAATCTCACACTAACAAGTCTATGGCGCTGAGAAATACGTCGCCACTTCGTCTCTTAACATGCTTGTCTCTACATCGGGCGTACAGTGGATTACAGGAGCATCTCAGTCACCGGCAGTGAGGAATTTGACTTTCCGTTTTAAGGTGCATCTCCCAGCAGGATGGCTTGACTAGTCTTTTAGAATGCTATGGTGTGTCGTGACATAATATATCCGAAATGGACACTCACCTCATCGAGTCGAAACCCTCTTCCTCCGCATCGCTGTTAAACTCGGTGAGGACCGCAGGCCTATGATGCCACGGAGGCGGTGCCCAGGTTTCTTTGGGCTCCGAGAGAGCCAGACTCTCACAACTGAGACTGGGCAGCATTGCCAGGTCCGCCTCCGTGGAATCCAAATCGACAAATGGAACAATCGTGTATGTGCCAAGTATGCATTGTTGGGCCCGAGCTGTCGTCGCGGCCTGCCGTGGCATCGGGAGGCCAAATCGCCGGCCTAGAGTCGTAGACGGGAGTGACTCCGTATGCCGTACAGTATGTTGAATGGCCAGAGTCCCTCCCGGAGCTACGCTCCGGCGGTTGGCTGCGGTTGTGCAGCTGGTTGAACTGGGAGTCGTGGGAGGTGGTGGGGAGGGATAGCCAGCGTCCGGGAAGGGGTAGACGGAGGGGAATAGCTGGGACGAAACATCACTCGGTGTATCACCCCGATTAGCTACCCTAGATTCCCTATCTGAAAGGCAAAACACATGAGGAAACAATGATTACAAAATGCTTGGAGGGTTGTGAGGTGTAGCGTTATAAGTCATTTGGAGTGCCCTACTTGTGGTTCGAGTTTTTGCCTGTAAAACAGTGCCACGGTTTACGCCCTATTGGTCAGATAGAGGTAGCACTGAACGTCTGAACTTCGTGAGTGAATCGGTTATCATTTTCAACGGGATATTCTCCTAAATCGGATGCCTCCGTGTCTCTTTGAATGCTTTGTTAAAACAATCGACAAAACTGACTTCTAGGGCCATCTAAATATCTATTCGCACCGCCCAACTGTCCAACGTATTTTGTGGTCAAACATTTTATTATTGGCTAGTGACTGTAAATGGATATGTAATTGTGGCGGCAGTGGTCAAAAACTATCAAATTAAATAAGCTTATGTTTTTTTTAATATACCAAAATAGAATAAGATTCCATCAACATGAACTCGAGTTCATGCGGATCCGCGGGATACGGATGGTAGGATTTAACGAAGAAAGGAATGTCGGGCTACTGAAAATTTAAAAGTAGTTTAATTCGATGGAACAGTCCTGCTAGACAATTGGCACACTGTCATATTTTGGTGAACACCGCACTTTCCAACCAGATTACTGTTGTCCATAATGACCTAGAATTGGTTTTCCTTTTTAAAAAAAGAGCTATCCTGAAACGTTTATTGTTCAGATTCAGTGTAATTGCCAAAAGTAGGTACCACCTCTCCAAGAATGGACTTAAACCAGTCGATCGCAATTGTACTCTCAAAAAACGAGGGATTATTTTGTCTTACATCATAAACCATAATTACGGTAAAATGCCTATATTATGCAAGAAATCTGCTCAAAGTCCCTGATTATGTCACTTTGGCGTGTTTATTCTTACTACTAAAGCGAATTCCGTTTCTTAATCGACCCAGTACGTCTGGATGACCCTGAGGGGGTCTGAGCCCCGAGGTGCTAAGGCCTAAAATTAGCCAACTTCTATTCTATGTACTCTAAGGCCATTTTATGAAACCAAAACAAGGCTATGGGACATTGAAGAGACTAAATCAATTTGCCCTAAGGGCACAGCAAGCATAAAGTAGGTGCAAAGATGTATGACTTACCGGTTACAGCTAGAGCTTGAGCCTGTAACTCCTTAATCTTGTCCTCC